GCGTTTTTGCTTTAGCTCAATCAAATTAAGTTGGAACTTAACCATTTTCTCAGGGTTTATAGTACTCAACGTAGGCTTTCTTTTGGCCAAAGAACGGAGTCTGTATCTACCAAGGAAGTTGAGTTATTGCAAAAACAAAAAAGGTCTTAAACTTTTGTGGAGCACTTTTACCGGTGCCGGTACCGGTCCTGTGCATACCTAGTTACTACTACAGAAAATGTAAAGCAGTATTTTTTCTCGTGTAATTATAGAGTACCGTGCAGCAATGAAGTTAGATATTTGTCGCTATATGACTTGTGTCATGAAATAGTTGATATGAGATGGTTTCCTGAAGCTAATTCGCCCGTAGAAGCTATGTTGTACGAGCCGGTATATTCTTTCAGAATAGATCTGCTAACCAAGAATTTTTTTCTTGTAATAGTCAAAAAGTGTCTCGCTTGTGTTCGATGTTTTAAGAAAACTTCATCTTATACAAACAAGAAAAAGGACGGGTGCGTATAAGCTAAAGAATCGTCCCAATTTTTTTTGTGCTCAGAATGGTCCTATGAGAAGCGGAAAACTATGAACATTTGATTTTAGCTGCTTTCGAGTGGTTATAGTCGTTCCATCCACATAAGAACTTCATTTGGAAGCGGGGAGATGAGAGTGAGTGAGAAGAACTGAAGATCTTAACATCTAAATATCTAAGATTTGAATATCAGAATATCTAAACATCTAGATATTATGTAAATTGCAGATGTTCACAAATCTGACCTGTCTCAAAATGATCTATTTACATTATCTTCACTGGCTTGCAAAAGGTCGTTAAGTTCAACATACCGTGGATGACCAGAGAAAAATGTGACTTGTAGATCGTTTAAGCTAACTTTTTTCAAAAAGAAGAAAAAAACCATTTTTCTAAAATAGTCTGTTTTAAAGGTGTTTCAATTCTATATAAATTGGTCTATTCATAATATCTTCACTGATTTGCAAAAAAGCGTTAAATCTTTTGTCGTTTTGAAGCAGTTGCAACCTGCTACAGGTTGCACTCTCCGGGTTCTCCGCGACCCTTTTTCATGAAACATCATTCAATGTACGAAAGGCCCTATGTGCAGAACTTTCTTGTCTTCCCGTTAATTCCGGCGATTTTGCCGATATGGCGTCTTTCGTAATTTGAATGCTGTTTCACGAAAAAGTGTCACAGAGAGCCCAGAGACGTCCCATTTTGTTCAGAAATCTTTTTTCTATAAGACAGAGTTATTCGCGAAGAGTTTCTCGAGGACTTGGTTTTCTGAGATTTGGGTTATCCAGAGATCCTGGTTTCAGGAATTTTTATGGAATCTTTATATATACCTCATCAGGTTGGAAATTCTTTCAGCTGAGCAAATGTTTTTTGAAATTTGTTTTAGCTACTATGACCGACGAGAAGAATAGAAAAGAAACGTGGATGAATAATTTTTTGACCCACTGTATATTTAACGTTTTTCTTTTCTGTCAAATCCTCGTGATCAAACACTGCTACGTCTATAATACAGTATCACATTTTTATCATACATGTCTCATAATTTCCAATCTGATAAGGTATATATAAAGATTCCATTTTCTAAGATCTTTCTCATATCAAAACATTCACTGGGAAGTGAAACTGTATTTGTCTCTGATGTAGCGTGAACCGAATTAAGATAGTCCTTGGAGTATGGTTTCCAACTAGTCTTTTTAAATTATCTTCCACTAGAAAAGGTGCGAATCTTCTCAAGCCTTCCGATATTTTCGGCTCTGAAAACATTTAAAAGAGTTGTACTATTGGAGAACTTTAGACAGTTTCATATTGCCTGAACAATCTGGAAATCTCTGTATTTGACACTTAAAGAGGTTATTGACAATTAAAAGTCTGAACTATCTTAATTTAATTTTCATGTTATTGTTTAGCTAAGTTGAGTCATATTTAAGACCGATAAAATTAAAAACTTTCGGAGCTATCAAAGTGCATGAACTTTGACTAAAGTCACAGAGAGACACTCTTAAAACGATTGTTATCTGTGTCTCTCCACTGACAGTCTATAAATAAATTAAAAACATTAAAATTTATCATCAAAATTCTTTTTGTTGCATTGGCGACAGTAGGTAGTAGGAGATTATGATAATAACTGCAAATATTTTACTATCAAAATTTATACAATTGTACAAAATTGTTCTTATTTAGAGGCAATAAACTTAACAAACATAAAATTTTAATAGCGGTTAGCCGCTGTTAAAATTTTATGTTTGTTATATGATTGTCATTTAAATAAGTGTTATTTTAAATGATATCAAAACGTGTAGCATAGTTCATTCAATATACTAGCTCTGTAAAGTGCGATGAATAACAATTTAATACTTTCCTAAATAATACAATGATTCATAATTATTGTTATTATACGTATTTTGTATTGAATAATTTTGGTAATACCCGCTATATTATATGAACGTATCCCGCGTTTATTTAATATCTACAATCTTCACTTGTTTCTAGTTCAAACATTTCGAATAAATAGACGCAAATTCATTCTAAACATTATCTATTTGCTGTTGATTTTTTGATGATACAAACGAAAAATCTATTGTACATTTATGATCACTGAAGTTTGTTACCTTCTATGGTTAGATACTAATCAGAAGCAATTATAAAAAATGCACCCATATTTCATTATTTTTCTTCACATCTAAAATAGCTGTAGTTACGTGAATATAAGCTTTATTGAAAAAAACCCAGATAATCGAATCAAACTATAACCAAAAAAAGCATTCAAAAAAAAATAAGTTATTTACAACTACAACAATTAGAAAGAAAATATATTTTAGTAAAAAAAACATTGCATCCAATATTGTATTCGTTAGAAATGGCGTCTATATTGGGATTGGAAATGTGGCTGAGTAATTTGTCGTATCGATGTTATGGCTAAAATTAGTATAAACATAGAAATATATATTTTAGAAATTATCGAAAACTAAAATTAAGCATGAATAAAGTGCTAGAGTGAGATAAATATGGATACATGAATACAGTTTTAAAATTTTAAAGTGGCATATATGCAAGTTGATGAATTAAAAAGAAATATGTGCAAAAAGAGGCTAAGCAAACATGCATATGGATGCACTTTATGCACTCCCTTTTCACATACCATGAAAATTATGAGCGCTGAATCCAAAACTATACAAAACGAAGTCATATCTCATAACAGTGCGTTATAGAAGAATGAAGTAAAAATTTACTTTTTTTTCCATTTGTAATTGTTGAATGCTTTTAACTGGTTGTGCGGGAAAAAATGCTTCTTTTGTTGGAGGTTTATTAACGCTCGAAACTGGTTGACCAAAAAAATCAAAATCAGCAAACGGACTTGTTACGGATGGTGGAGCCACTGGTGTTGGAGGTGAATTTTGTAAAAATGACTGTTGTTGTAGTTGTTGTTGTTGCATCGGATTTAGAGGAGACGGTAACAATGGCGGTGGCATATTAACCGGTGCAGTTTGCTGTTGAGGTTGAATAGGAGTCGGCGTTACACCGAATTGTGGGGGAACAGGCGATTGACGGTATTGTGGAGTTATACCGTATGGTTGTTGAGACTGACCTGGTATCGGCTGTTGACCAAATTGCGCTTGTTGTTGAAAGGAAATATTCGACTGATACTGTGGCTGTTGTGGTTGTTGAGGTTGCATGAACATCGGTTGAAATTGATTCGATGGTTGGGTAGGTGCGTTGAATACTGACGATAAATCATTTGATGGTCCAGTCAAATTCGACGGTGTTGCTTGCACGTGTGGATTTGTACTGGATGTTGGCACATTCCAAAGATCATCACTATCAATTACCTAAAAATATAAAATTTTATCTATATTCAAAATAAAACATGAATTCTAGAAAGTTTTTCTAATGTGATAAAAGAAGCGGTAAAATTATGAGAACTTAGTGATATTCTATGTGATAAATCAAAAGTGTTTCAGTATTTCAATAAAATTATGAAAAAACACAGTTCCTTTAGCGAAATTTTTATGATTCAAATTTTCACGAATCAAATTGAACCTCAATTGTTGTTGCTGTTAAAGAATTACGTACGTTAACACTTTTTGGTTGTGGTACTTGCGTTGGTGCAGGTGCTGGATCAAATCCAAACAAGTTCGTATTCGCTGGAAAAGGTTGATTCACTGGCGGTTGAACCGCCGCAGATGCTTCCCAAATACTTGGGGGCTGAAAAAAAATTGAAATTTTATTATTTGAGCAAATAATTAGACATTGAAAATACCGGCGCCGTTGTTCCTGAAGGAGTTTGATCGAAAAGATCAACCGGAGGTTGAGTCTAAAAAATGACGAGAATATTAACCATAACCGAAAAGAATAAACCCTGAATCTAGACGCATTATGTGCCTGTTGAATTGTAGGTTGCTATTGTTGAATCAGTGAAAAAAAGTCTGGAATATACTCACCGGTACAGGTAAAACAGGCTAAAACAAGACGTTCAGCATTATGAAGCTAGACCAGACTTATTTATGTACTTACCGGTGGTTGGGTTGTCTGCGGTGGTGTTACATCACTTGGTAATACCGTGGTTGGTGTTGCGGGTATTACAGGCGGCGTTACTACTGTTTCTTTCACTTTTTCAGTCCTATTGTTAAATTGTTCAAATGCTGTATCAAATAATTCTTTTAATGAAACTACAGTTAAGGCAGCCTGAAATTAACAAAAGGTATATATGCTTTAGTCTATTAGTAATCTCCTGTGTAATCTAAACTAACCGGTCGTTCTGTTTTGATTGCCCAAAACTGATGTCTGTCGTCGGCGGTATTGTACACATATCCAAATGCTCGTGCATCTTTCGGATCAGTAACCACAAATGATATTCGTTCAATTTCATGCGAGGCTACAGAAACCTATGTCATTATACAATCAATTACGATGATAGTTAAGAGAATGATACCAAAAAACCTACCTTCGTTACTTCATCAGCTAATTTAACAGCAGACAGCGTTAAATTAATTTGAATTTTTTGCTTGTGATCACTTCTTGCTTTGGCGACAGCTTTTAATTTAAACATTGAATCTAAGCAAATTTTTTCATCACGATCGACTGATAAGTCCTCAGTACCTAAAAGATAATGAATAAGAATGAAATAACTTTAAACCTATTAAGCTATTTTACAAGATTAAAGCAAGATGTTATGCCAACACTTTCTTTATTTTAAATCTATTACCCGACAAACTTTAGAATCTTGTTACTTACCAATAAGTTTTCCCTTAAATACCACACCATCTCCATCGAATTTTGTTGCTCCTGTAAGAAAAAGAAGTATAGAGGATGCTACAAAAAGAAAGTTAAATCTAGAAATACCAGGTGTCGATGGTTTTTTGGGTTCGTTATTATTCACGGTTGGAACTTGATCAACAGTTGTCATTTTTGTATAACTTGCAATTGATTCTAAGTAAATAAGCAAAACATATTCATTTATAACTAATGGGATAGAAATACAACTATCAGTAAACCAAAAACGGGTGCTCCTGCAACTTCAGAACTTACGATTTAGCGTATTATTACAATATAAACAGACAGGCAAAATTTATTTCGTTTTTTGTCATTTAACCTTGCGCTTGAGTGTTGAAAAAAAAAGAAGAAAATACTTAGATAAGAATTTTCAAAGGAGAAGAGTAAAAACGAGAGGACAACAAAGTGTAAATATCTGCATCTCTTTTGAAAAAGATAAAAACTATTATGGAGATGTTGTATATATGCGTGGTTAGTTATGATAGAAAAAAATGTGAAGAAAAAAATATATAAGAATACCATGTTTTCTTCTCAAAAATCACTGATTAGAAAGGGACAAAAGAATTTTTATAACACGCGGAAGTAAATAATGTTGAACTTTTGAACTTCAATATAAACTTTTATGTGTAAAAAAAATAATAAATAATAAATTCCCGATAATAGGTCAACTTCAATTTACCTTTTATAATCGTTTACGCAGATTAGAAGACTAGTCTGCAACATACAACGTGAAACACATTATAGAATTATTATAAAAGAGCTTAATCTGTTATACTATTTGATTTTAAGCGTTTTTCGTTTGATATCATTTTTACCCCCTGAATTATCAGTATCTTACTAGCGTTGCTGACAAGTCTGAATTAATATTGCAACGTTAACTATTCAAAGAATTTTTTTATAAAATTCGTCTGAAGTAAATTCCTAAATCATTATAAAAAAAATGTTCATTGTTAGGTTATTGGGAAATTTGTACTCATTAAATGTATAATCTTCAATTTGTTTTTCTGGGACTTTTACCGTGCCATAAACAAGCCACTGATGAAATCAACAGCACCTCTTCTTCAAAAGCCGTGTTATTATTATAAAATTTTTCACGACCCCTCTAAAAGAATTTCTCTAGATTTTTCTATCCAATCTTCTCGATGCTACCAAAATAGCAGTAAAAATTCTGTAGAATGTCATCGAACCATCTAGCAGATGAAAAAAAGCTGCTCGCAATAGAAGAGTATCTGATTTTCTACTCTTGCTAGAAGCAGTATACCATCTCGAATCAAAAATACTGTAAAAGATATAAAGAAAGATCGCTCGTACAAATCGTATCGTATTAAGAATGGCTTTACTCAGGCAGATAGGTATGTATTTAGCTTAAATTGAAATTCAATGTACATATAATATTCCTGTTGCGATACTTAAGGAATTTATTAAATAAAAAATTTTTGAATATCTAGACTACTTGAGTATACATTGACGGAGTGTTGTATTTTTAAACGACTACTAAAGTTCAGGATAGACCTTGTTGTTCTTTATTTCTAAAAGAACTAACTGCTTTATGGATTAATACTATAAGTAAGTTACGGTATTTCGATATAGCAACGATCCGAATACTACGACAGAAGGTAAAATTGTTCTTCACGATCGTATGGAATCTTTTCACAAGAACTTTTAGTGGTCAACAAACAAAACTTTTCAGAGACTTTCAATAGTCAAAAAGACTATAAGATTAAGGAAATGGGACGAAATACTGTTCATATTGGATAGTATCAAAAACGTTTCTAAGAGTAGTTGTCAATCGCAAATCCATCTCCTTTTCGCCATAGAAGAAAGAAAAGAAAACAGAATATAGAGAGAGAATAAACAATAGTAAAGGATTATACAAAAAACGTGATGCTTGCTCATGATAGCCTATTATTAACTGGAATTATGTTTTTTAACAACAAAAGGACGACAAGAAAGTTAAACAGAAAAATTGTGTAAGAGTTCAAGCAAAACAGTTCATATCATCACACTTAAATACCCTTAGCATTTATCTCTTCTTAAAATCGAAAATCAACCTATCAAAATGTTTGATAACATCAGAACTGGCTTTACTCCGAAATAAAATTAGAGTCAGGACAAAAACAGTGAAAGGTTGCATCGTTATGAGAACCGCGCGTATCGATCTTTGTCTACACGAACAACATGTTGATTTCTTTTGATATTATTAACTTACTTAGTGCGCTAGCCGATAATTTCATAGTTAATATTTATTTGATTAATTGCTCTTCATGAAATATTTACAAACTTGCTGCAAATAATGATGCCCGCTATAACTAATCACACCAGTATACGAAAAATTAATATATATACATGCAAAGTGGTTTAGTTTTATTTTTTGTTTCATTTTAATCCAGTATGTTACATACAGTGTATGAGATAAAGGTTGAAAACTTTATCAGTTTCAAATTACAACCCCATCTTTTTTCTTCTTCTTATAATACTTTAAAACTTATACCTTGTAAAGAGTAATGTTCGTGAAGAGCAGTCCATCTGGATCATTCAACGCCACTGAAATCGGAAAAATATGCGTTTTCTATATCCATACGTTGTTATTTTACTTACTTTTATTGAAAAATATTTTCTTTTATTTACATACAACAATCAAGAAAAATGCTATTTTTCTTTATATAAAACTACGATTTGTACGTAACAACATTGTAGCAATCGCATACGAAAATTCTAAAGAGATACGCCTCAGCTTTTATGCATTTACTTATATCTCTGTAGTGGTCGTCCACCTTCCTTCTGCGATTTAGTATTGTATCAGTCCACACAGCTACTTATAAGTGATTTTTTTTCAAAAACGCTTTTCCGAACCTAACACGACGTAACTTACCGTTAAATCATATATACAACCTTTTTCAAAAGGTAGTGCAAACCGGCAAAACGCGCTGTTCCATTCCAACAGCTTATACGTCATAAAAGCTCTAGTTATTCATGTCATAATACACACGATTACGCGATAAATTATGAACTTAGGCAATGCTGTTGTTCGTGCAAGTGGATCGCTTTGTTGATGTGGTGATAGTGAACGGAGTACATGAAATAAAATGAAGAAATATAAAACGATCCAGTTCCTGAGATCGGAACAGGAAAAGTAACTATTACCTTCGATCTGACATGAAAAATACGAGGATGACACGATGAACTGTATCTAATACAGAGTTTGTTGACAAACTCTAATTTTGGGCCATCAATCTGGTGATCACTATTAAAATTCACAATCAATATGCTAGGAGTACTTGAGCGTGCCGTTACAAAACACATATTCGAGAGTAACACATTATTGTGGTAAAGTGGTAACTATTTCTTCATACAAGGAGTGTGATTTACTTATTTATTTAGTATCGGTATCAACTGTTGGGTAAAATGATCATCTGTACAATAAATAATTTGGCAAGGAATGAGACAAGATATAAAACTTACAAAGGTTTCGAGACCATACTGCTAGGTTAAGAGTACCAATATCATTTATAGGAACAAAATTAAAAAATGTCAAAATACTTTTGCCGAATTATTTACTGAAAAACAATTCAAACTGAGATTCGAAGCATCGGAACGCGCATCATAGATATCTTCTGTAAATGGACAACTATCGCGAATATCTTCGATAGCATGGATGATCCAGAGGTGAGCAACTCCGGCTAGGTACAGCTCTAACTCAACTCCAACACTAGCTCTGCTAAGCAACCTAAACCCAACTCCAACTCCGTTTCAACTCCGAAGTGAAATCTATTCGTTCTTTTTCCTTCAGCGTGATGTGAGGTGTATCATTAGGCATGCATCAGTTACAGTTAACTGTAAAACTATAACTGTCATAACTGTAGGTAAATATTCTAGAGTGAGTCAGTCTTCTATGATTTGCATACATTTTAAGAACAGAGACATCCTTAAAATGTATGCAAATCGTACTAGACTAATCACTCTAGAATATTTGCCTACAGTTATGACAGTTACAGTTTTCACAGTAACAGTTAACTGGTAAAAAACTGTAACTGTTGCATACCTATGTATCATAGAGAGGTGCAGAATCTACCCGTTTGCGCCGACGACCGTTGAGAGAAAAAAACATTTTTTGGGGCAAAGTTTTGGAAAAACGAAGAATTATACGAAAATGCCAGAACCAGACATGTGTGATTAAACAGAAACAGTAGTTTTAGCAACAATAAAATCGCATTGTTTTGTTTCTACTTTTGTTTCATGCCAGGAAAATTTGATTATAATCTTTTACCCTTCGGGGAAATTTCCTAATCTCACGGGTAGATTCTGCACCTCTGGTATCATATGTTATTATATGCTGAACACACGTTTGTATCTCTCGCGACAAAAATAGATAAAAACCAAACAAAAGAAACTCTCGTGAAGAAAAGGAAATGGGACTAAAGAAATTGTGAACGAGACTTTTGGAGTTTGAGTTGACAAAATCTGTCATCAACTCAACTCTGGTCGTTTAGAAAGCAAACTTTAACTCTGCAAAAAAGACGCTTAACTCCGGAGTTGAGTTGTCCAGCTCGGGGACGATCAGCTGAAAACAAAATCTCTATAATTTGATTATTCTGTTAATGGGAAAAAGTCAAGGGGGAAAAAGCAACACTTCACTACACTATAAGGACTTGTCCGCTATACCTCACTACACATCCACTATACCCCACTACATCTCACTATACCCCACTACGTCTCACTACACATCTATTACATCCCCGTAACCACTACAAAGTCAGTACAAGGTCACTACCATAGTGGAAAAAGTGTAGTGTAGTGCAGTGTAGTGTTGTTTTTTCCGCCTTAGAAAAAGTCCAATTATCTCATGTTTCTTGTTTTCAACCACAACAAAAGGAGATGTACAAGCAAACAAACTATACTATTGTTTATTCTCTCTCTATATTCTGTTTTCTTTTCTTTCTTCTATGGCGAAAAGGAGATGGATTTGCGATTGACAACTACTCTTAGAAACGTTTTTGATACTATCCAATATGAACAGTATTTCGTCCCATTTCCTTAATCTTATAGTCTTTTTGACTATTGAAAGTCTCTGAAAAGTTTTGTTTGTTGACCACTAAAAGTTCTTGTGAAAAGATTCCATACGATCGTGAAGAACAATTTTACCTTCTGTCGTAGTATTCGGATCGTTGCTATATCGAAATACCGTAACTTACTTATAGTATTAATCCATAAAGCAGTTAGTTCTTTTAGAAATAAAGAACAACAAGGTCTATCCTGAACTTTAGTAGTCGTTTAAAAATACAACACTCCGTCAATGTATACTCAAGTAGTCTAGATATTCAAGAATTATTGTATTAATACGATAATTCGTACGTGCTGAAGTTGCAGAAGCACCTGTTTTGGGTTTATTGATAGTAGTGTTTGTTCCGCGTTAGTTATAAATGACTATTTTTTGATTATTTACTTAGAATCAATTGCAAGTTAAGTCAATGAATAATGTTTAGATGGAAACCAAATTAAAAAGTAATTTTTAATCTTTGAAGGCTTCAATTATGAGAGAAATGTGGCATATGTGTGTAAACAAGTTAGCCACTAAATCTTGCTAATTTTGTTATTTTCGTGTGTAATTTTCTTCGATTCAGGAGATAAGAAAGTTTTTTTTTCATCAACGAAAGTGTGCTTTTGATTGAGATAAATAGTCGGTTTTATTTTTGAAGAAAAAAAGATATATCATTCAATTTTGAATGTAGCGAGTAATTGGTTGAGAAAAACATGAAATATATCTAAGCACAAATTCAGCAGAAAAATACATATTTTAATGTCATTTATCTGACCTAATGCATTAGAAAAGAAACAAACACTCACTGTACAGAGCAGTCTACATTTGAACCGCATGAAAACTAATACACTAATTGATGAGGCATGCTGTTAGCTGTATTGAACATGGGAGCAGTTGGATAGGGTTGTTGCATTAATGGCATGCCACCACCCTGCATCTGCATTTGATAACCTTGTTGAACAAGAGGTGCACCTGGTGTTGACATCATTGGCCTATATCCGAATGTCATTCCACCGGTACCTTGTTGGTATGGATACATGTAGTTGGTTTGAGGCATTGATGTCGCTGGCGCTTGTTGAAATTGTTGATAAGGAGAACCAGTCATCGGCCCTAATCCTTGCATACCTGTCGTCATTACAGGTCGATACATCATTTGATTTTGTCGAGCTGCAGCTGCTCCCATTTGTGAAGCTGCTCCCATTTGTGCTCCCATTTGTGCTCCCATTTGTGCTCCCATCATCATGGCTCCATTTGCGGGTGCCATTGGTGATTGTCCTGGTAAAACCATGCCCGGCATTGTGGGAGGCATATATTCGAAACTCGAAGATGACGAACGACTTTGATGATATGCTGGCGCACCAGTCGAGCCAATGATACTTTGTGCACGGTAACCATTTGAGTAATCTTGATGTAGACCACTAACAGGGTAGGATACGACAGCAGGAGAACCTGATTGACTATAACCACGACGGACAGGGCGATCAACTTTGATTACTCTGTAGAATAATCAAATAATTTAAAATAACTAGGTATATTCTTACGAGATTAAAGCAAACCTGGTTCGAACTATAGGTGGTGGAGCTTCTTCATGCATTTCTTTCTGGATAATTCGCGGTGGCGGGGTACGTGGCTGTTCAATTACACGTTCAACAATTTCTTGTGCTTGTGGCCGAATTATTACCTAAAGTCAAGATTAAAATGGGGCAACACGTCAACGTGCCACAAAAAAGAAGCATTGAGTCATTTCTTATTCAAAATATCAAAAGCTTTTGAGGAAATATGTTTTTGTCTTTAGTGTGGAACAGGAGTTCCTCTAAGACTTAAAAATTCTTGTAATTCAACACTTACTCGCTCCATGACTGGTGCCTCAGGTGTTGGTGCTCGTTCAACCACTCGTTTAATTATAGGTGGTGGTGTTGGTGCACGAATTACGTCTCTAGGTCTTCGGACTTCTCGTGATATTAGACGGCCACGATATTCATAATCACTACTTGAAGTATTTGTTGTAAACGATGAATAACGATCGGGAGAATAAGATCTAAAACAAAAAAAATAAATATTTAAAACGAACTTTAATCACTTTTTAAGTCTTACCTTTGATTTCTATCGCCACTGTAGACTGGCATTGCGCCATTCTGATATGGTATTACACCATCACCATATCCAGCACCGTTCGTATAAGCATAACGATAAGACATGGTCTACAAAGGAAAAATTTGTTGAAATCATTGTTTTTATTGTTATATAAGAGAAAGACTTTAACAGAAGAAAAAATGAGCGGTAGAAGATCATCGATAACGTTCACTTGCTGATTCTAAGTCTTGCTTACTCTTTACTGAAAACCAGATAAGTTTAATAATGGTTTTTTCTTGTTCGACACGATTTAGGTAAATGAGTAGGCGTGCTCAATATGAAAAATTTTAATGGTAAATTTGAACTATTTTTCTCGCGCAGAAGAGAAGATATACGATGGAAAGAAGAAAAATATCAAGGTACTACACTTCGGTCACAAAAATAAATCGATGACCATCGTTTACCGAAAGGAAGAGACACATAAATGAAAATTGTTTTCGTCTTTGAACAATTTGAGTCACGGTTGATTTCACCTGTATGACGCTTTTCTAGACGATACAGAATCGATTCGCAAACGAAATCTGGTTATCATCTTTGGATATTGTCTTAACTTTCAAAGGAAAGTCGGGCGTATTTCGAGCATAACCTGTTATATAGTAGACAATACGAAAGACAGTAGTAATTATGACAAAAAAAAAATTAAATATAAGATCTATAGAAAAAAATTGAAGGATATATATGTACCTCTCTGTTCAGTCAAATAGATATGACAGAGAAAAATGAGCTTATCAAATTATTTTTGAATATGAAAATAGGTGAAATGTCTAATGATGTCTAGAGAAAATTGATGTCCTATATAGTTTGTAGATAAAGGTCGAGAATCAAATGTTGAATCTGTAATCATCTTTCTTACAGCTCGATTTTACCAAAATACAATATTCTAGACAGAATCTTACGCACTTCCTGTCTATTTCCTACTAGGATCTTACAGGATCCTAACATGTAGGATCCACCTAATAACTTCCTAGCAGGATCCTAAAATGCTAGGATCCTACTAGAATTTCGCTTAAGTTTGTTTAAGATTCTAATAAAATCTTAGAAAATCCTATGACTTTCAGGTATACCTGATTTCATTAGGATTCTGTAGGATTTTATTAGGATCCTAAGAAATTAAAGCGAAACCTTAGTAGGATACTGGTAGGGTATATCTCGAATTCTGTCAGAAAAATTATAGGAATTTTACTAGGGTATATTGGATATTTATCAAAAGTCGAGTGAATAATATAGTTTAATTTAAACTATTTATTATAATCAATAAAAAAAGAAGAGTTACATCTGGAAAAATAGGGAATCGCCATTGTATCTTGCCAATTCAGAGTGGTTAACATAAATTATATCTGATTTAATACTGTTTGTTGACTAACATAATGATATCAAATCAGAATAAAATATAAAACAGATAGAAAAAATAAAGTTATTCAAACAAAAGAAAATAGTCAGAAATGATGTTGCATGGTGTAAAGAAAAATATGTAAATAATTGTTGATTTCTAGATACATACATAGAAATAGGGATTATGTACTATGTGTGTATGATGTAAAAATCAAATGTCAAAATGCTTAGACTATTTAATAGAGTTAATTACTGATAGATAGATCAATTTATAACCTTCGAATGCTAAACTCTGATTGGTTCACTCTGATTGGTTCACGTTAATAAATTTTCAAACTAAATTCCACTAAAATTTAAAATTTTTAAATCAGTATTTTTGATTTTAAAAATTAATTATAACGAATTTTAAAAATTCTCTCGTTCATCCTATAGCATAATGACATCTTAAATAATTTCTATACCCAGAGTTTTTTGCCGAAATGCTTCTCTGAAGCGAAACATCGTTCAAGATGTTTTTAAAAATACTTTCTACCCTAAAATTTCATCGACAAAATAAAATTTAAATTTCTCCGCCAAACTTTGATTAGGAATGACATCAGCTTTTTTACATAGGCAAGTTGATGTGCCAAGACGAAAGAATTAGCTCTTCAAATTGAAATTTTAAAGAATGGACAAAAAAACGGGTGGAAACTTCACAATTTCATATCTCAAAAACTATAAGTCCGGAACTCGAACAATTTTTGGGTATACACTTCAAAGTGTTATCTACAAACTGAGAAAAAGACCTAAGTGAGGAACCCCATTAATCCTTCGTGTCAAGAACAAACCTCTACCCTATGAGCCTAATCATAAGTTGCTATGAGGTTATTTTTTCGAAGATCTAATTTCAAAATACCATATACAAAAAGTTGCACCAGCTTCCAAGCAGATGCCTGGAGCAATCAACCGTACCTTTTTTGACGCTCCGCCATTTCTACGCCAACACCTATTTTCGACATGCGCCTTACGAAAAATGGATTATTACTGTTCCTTTTTTGACAATCTCTACCCTATACATCGTGAGCCGCTCGGCGCTGTTCGCCGGTCCGCTGCTTGGGTTATAACGCGAAAGTTCGGCTACAAAGTTAGTGATTCTGATCTAGCAAACACAATAGGACTTCCAAACTTGACGCTAAGATGGAAGTATTTAGATTAGTGAGCTATTACTGTATTGTGAATCACCATACTGATTCAACCGTTAGAACACATCACTTGGAACAAATATCCCACTCAGATTCAGAAGATATTCCAATTCCTCGAACAAAAACAATACTTTTTTTTCTTTTATCTGGCAACTGCCAAAGAGTGGAACAGTCTCCTATTCTTCTGAAACAGTAGCCTAGCACCTAACATACAACCATTTAAAACAAGTCTCAAAAGCCAACTTAGTTTGAAGCAAAATTATTGCTCTTTTTCTTGTGATTTATCGTCGTTTTTAAAAATTGTTCTGATCTGGATCTTACGTATTTTGTCTTGTTTATTGTGAGTGTGTGCCGGACACATGTTCTGTTTGAGTAAAAGCTTGTGTGTTTGAACGGTTATACAATATGTAGTATTATGTGTAAAGTTGCTTTTTTTTTAAACAGATTAAAGATCTGCTGATGGGATGTTCAATGTCGCCATTTCTAGCGGACATAGCTTTAAATGAAGTTTTGCTGTATAACTGGGATTATCAAAAGTATCCTTATATTGGATTAGCACGATATATTGATGATATACTGTGAGTTTCAAAAATGGATAAAAAGAAAATCCAGGAATTAGTAGCAGATCTAAATAGTAAGAATGATTTACAATTTCACTTTTGAATATGAAGTAGAACACAAGATAGTATGTTTGAATGTCAGTATTCAGATAAATCAAATAAGTGAAACAAGAGAAACAAGCTGATTTCAGAAAGCAACGTCTAGTTCAAAAGTATTAAATTTTGATTCAGATCATAGCTATGCTATGAAGCAAAATATAATTACTAATATGATGAAAAGAATAATAATATGTGATAATTATTCTTATTATATTATTAACAATAAAGAAAACGAAAGAGATATGTTAGAGTTGAAACAAATTTTAAATAACAGTGATTATCCACAAAGAGTAGTGGTAAATTTTTTCTAGAAAATTAATAAAAGTGGAAAAAACGAAAACATAAGTGAGAAAAAAGAGAATATACAATCCTATGTGGTAGTCATTCCACATAGACATGTAGTAACTGAAAAACTCCGGCATATCTTAACAAAATTGAATATAAAAGTATATACAACTTTGAATCGTAGTTTAGGTTAGGCCTCTTCAAATAACTCGGGAACGCAAAGAGATATCGAGAAACAGTTTAAAAGCAAATTTTCAGGAAACGCTCCGGACAGCTCATAAAGCATAATCAAAGACGAAAAAGATAAATTTCAGCCGGCATTGGTTTAAGGTTTTCCAGAAACCTTCTGAAAAACCTCAAAGCATCAGTGTTCTGTTGGACCACTTTTTCGGCGTGATCACCGATATATGGCACGTTTTAGGTCTTTCCTGAAAATTTGCTTGAGTCAGCAAGAGATTTGATCGAGATATAAGGATTTTAATTTTTGCTAGTAACAGACGAAAAAACGGTTTTTCATAAAAATGCCTCTGGCGAAGCTATATTCATTTCCACACAAAAAAAAATGTTGCCACTATGCTTAGGGTAGTCCATTACCTATATTCCATGGCATTTCGAGATTCCCAGAAATGTCTACTCGGAGATAGATACGTGCCCTGTCCGAACGACGATAGCTAGAGAGCCGGGACTTGCATAATTTTGTAGAATAACGTCCGGACTATCTACGCATGCAAAAAGATTTCTGCCATTGTATGTTAGTTTTCTGAGAACGGAGCTGGTTTTCCAAAGATCTACCTGGAAAACCCCTCAAGATCCAGAAAAAAGTTTTTTTCTGCCATAGTTCGATGTGCCCCAGACTTGGCCATAAACTGACGAAAACCGTTTCTCGATATCTCTTTGCGTTCCCGAGTTATTTGAAGAGGCGCATAGTACCTTATATTTTGAATCCGATAGTAATACCGGAGTAAAAGAACAGGTTAGCAATAAGGATAATAAACTAGAGAAGCCGATAGAGATGAGAATAAAAAACTCGAGATATATTTAAGAAAACAACCGAGAATAAACTACAAATGACAAAGCAGAAGTTTCAAACGTTGACTTTTCAAAAGGTTTTTCATCGGCCCTTTTATTAACGTTATTTTATTGTAGATGTATTTTAAGTTTTAACATTAATTGTCTGCATGGTTAAGAAGGAAAAAGAAAAAAGGTCGTCTTGACATATGTAAATTCTTCTTACTTGGTCTGCTCTTTTGCGTTTCTTTCTTAGATCAGTCCTTTTAAATCGCGTAATCTTATACTAAGTAAGAATTGCCTAGGCAGGGGAAGAGTGAAAAGAACAAAGGATATAAATGTAGTACGTTATGTTCTATTATCAACTGTATATATTGTATTGTGTAGAGAAGAAAAGCATATTTTTCGAAAAATAAAATTTTCATTCTGAGATAGGGTCTGGAGTATCCGTGGTAAACATTTCGACCCGATCGGACCATTTTTTCGAAGAGTCATAATGTGACTGGATGAAAACGGGAGTTTTCCAGGACCCATGGAAGATCATGTCACAAAATGCTGAGCAAAAATACATCGATTTTCTTTTTCGCTCTTCTATCTCCGGTATAAATTTGACGAGGAAACCTCCCCAGGTTGCAAATCGCTTTCGGGCTAAAACCTAGTGGGTTATGGACCATGCTGATTCCGAATATAACAATCATTTTGGCCGATAGGTCTTCAGAGACCGAATTTCTGGAAAATCAGTTTTTCAAAACTTCTAAAAAATAAACAAAACCTTTGTTAATGAGGCAGGATTGTAGCACGCACATTTCTGATTAAAATGAGATACCTCCCAGCTCTACACGGTCTTTCTTTGCAAAGTTGTAGAATTTACGAGAAAAGCCCTAAACTAATTTCTTATTCTGTAGCTTTGAGCTGACAATGAACATTTAGGGTTTTTCTTGCAAACTCTATAACTTCGCAAAGAAAGGTCGTGTAGAGCTAGGATGAGTCTCATTTTAATCAGAAATCTGCGGACTACAATCCTGCCTCATTAACAAAGGTTTTGGTTACTTTTTAGGAGTTTTGAAAAACTGGTTTCAAAGTTCATCGGGACAGCAGTGCGGGAAAAACAGAACGGGAAAAAACTATGTTAAGAAATCAGAAATTTTTTTATGCCCACCTCCTAAAATTCCTGGCTACGTCGTTGTTAGGCATGCAACAATCCGATAGTTCGGTGACGGAACGTGTTCGGACGAAGATTGCAAATATGACAGTTTATATTTTTCTCATCGGAGATGTCGGCGAGCTCTCTGTTGAGGAACTATTAGGATAAAAGACCATAAACCTTATAAAGATACATTCGAATTAGGGCTGTACCTTTCTGTCTATTTTATTTGCACAGTGAGGAAAAACATTTTTGCATGAAAACAAAGTAAATCAATCTGCTACAGAAGCCACATTAGTAAAAGTATGCTTTAGTTAGAGCGTAAATAAGATATAATGAAACCTAAAGGTACTTTGAACTTCCTGAACCAAAACAGACTTAAAATTGCTGCTCTAACTCAAACTTTTCTTTACTTGACTATCTACGGCTACGACGTAATTATGAATGCTCCTTCGTATGGTGTGATCTTCACCATTTTTTCTGTTTCACAGAGATTGTTTTCATGTATTTTTTCGCTCTCACGTTCTTAGCTTTAATAAACTAGTTTTTTAAACCTTTGGTAGCGAACCATTTCACCAACATGTTCCGTAGTGATCCGGTAGAACACACCTTCGCTCACGTTGTACTTTAGTTAACCTATTTTCTCACTGATTAGTTCCTTCAAAGACTTGAATTTCATTCCGTTTGTCTTTAGTCCAGACTAGGCATGCAACAATCTCAAGCTAGGGCTCACTGATCGGTAGCGAACATGTTCGATAACAAACCGTTTGGTGACCTTTCTTTTATTTATACAGTTACATTGTAGCATAAAGGACCGAGTGACGATATGAGGCTCAATATGCTTGAGCCTCACTCGACTTTTTTAGCCGTACGAGGCTCACGCACACTAGGTTTCAAGCAAAAATAGATTTTATTTTTCCATTTTTGTAAATGAAATATTAGAAATGAACTCTCCTAATGAACTCTCCTAATGTGCTTTCTAGTGAAACTTCTTGTATCCAAGATCTTGAGTTAAGATCTTACTGAAAAAAATCAAACAAACCAAGATCTTGGCTCAGGAAGCTCCATGGGCTTTCTTTAATTGGATGGTACATTGAACGGAGGAATCAAAAATTCTCTGTGGTACTGGCGCCGTTTCAGATAAGACTTTGTGGTGAAAAACATGTTTATTCATAATTCAGCAGTATGAATAGTAATATCACACTTATGAGAATATATCATATCGCAATATTGCTAATTGTTTGACTAGATATCAGTGTTGCTTCATGATTCAACAGGACACATTTTTTATGAAGACTATCTAACTTTGTAAGCATTTAATTTGACAATGGTTTTGAAATTCATGACTAGGTGTAATTACTCGAAGTATTTCTGGTAAAAAGTATTTTTCTTTCTGTTCGATGCGCAAGTACAGACTAGTAATCGTGGCGGCATTGTATGAGTCAACTACTCTTGTGTTTCTTTCAGCATTGCCATGTAATTCATATACAGATGTCATTGCACAATATTTTTGAAAGTTAGGGTACATTCAGAAGTTATTTTGTTCTATGCATTTTATAGAATATAATATTTCTATTTCTTCTATCATCATTCTATTTCACTCTCTTTCTCTCGTTTCTCTCATTTCTCTCAAAAAAAAACATCATAGACTTCAATTTATAAAAACGTTCGGTTTTTGTCACAACAACAAGTTTATACACAGAACCGACGAACAGCAAAGGTGTGTACTGTGTACTTGATGTTCAACTGCTACGATGTTATCGCTATTGTTTAACGTTAGCCGACCCATAAGAATTCCTTATTCAGATCGACCACTAATTTTTTAATATAAGCTTGCAGTGATCTATTACCATCCTTTATTTTAAGAAGATAAACTGAGACAATTTCACATCTTTTGAGTTCATAATAGAAATGACATACGGGCGAAAGATTGTTACTTCTCGAAGTCTCTTTAGTACTTAGATGTGGACACGTCAATAGGTATAAAAAAAATTGACAATCAGAGTTATTTAAAAGACGTTATTTGTTTTAGATTATTGGTGTCTACTTCAAATAAAACAGAAAAAAAATGGCGGATCCAAAATCAAGTGGCGTTTATCGCATTCCACCATATTATTACATCCACGTATTAGATCAGAATAGCAATGTACCACGATTGGAAGTTGGTCCAAAAACATTTGTTAAACAAGATCATGAAAAAGTTCTCTTAGGCCCAGAAAAACATATTATCATTCCACCGCGACATTATTGTGTCATTGAAAATCCAGCAATGAGAGATAAAAAAGGACAAGTGCTTATCGATACACATGGACAAGTTCGATTGTTACATGCCGATTTAGCAATTAAATTTACACAAGAACCGTTTCCGTTGTTTCCTGGAGAAGTATTAAAACAGGTAAGCCCCGGACTATTGTGACTGAACAAAAATAGTTATCGCACTCATGCAGAATGTCAATTAAAAAAATATCTGATATGGGACCTGGAAGACCTTAAATAATAATGTAAATATTCATCATATTGATGCTGAAGCCATGTTTTTCTGATTTTTTAAGGCTGTGACTCCCTTAAAAGTGATTGAACCGAATTGTGCATTACGTTTACGAGCTGTGCTAGATTTTGTTGATGAGGCTGGAACTCCAATTAAAGCTGGTGATGAATGGCTATTTGAAGGACCAGGTAAGATAAACATGTTCATAAAAATTTCTTAATATCTACGAGTAATAAGGAAACAACAATCTGCCGATGATAGACCTAATTTTCTGATCGTCAACAACGGCACATCTCTTTTTATTCCGTCATTCTTTTAGCGATCTTCGCCAGTATCATTGTTTTTTTTTGTTTTCTTAGGCACCTATTATCCTCGAAAAGAAGTTGCCGTTGAAGAACAAATAAAAGCTACGATTTTGAAACCCACTGAAGCTGTTCGATTACGTGCAAAAAAAGAAATGATTGATCGTGATGGTCAACCTCGTGAAACCGGTGAAGAATGGTTAAATAGAACGACTGGCTCTTACCTACCATTGGCTACCGAAGAAGTTGTCAAAGTTGTTCAGCCAATTGTATTAACAGATAAAGTAAGCAAATAAGATTAGCGAGATGTTTTGTTTTTGCTAAGAGAAATTATAAACATTTTTTTTTGCTGTTTAGAAAGCAGTTCACCTTCGAGCGATACGTACGTTTAAAGATACTTTTGGTAATAAACGTTTACATGGTGAAGAATGGTTAATATATGCCAAAGATACCGAGACATACATACCAGATGTTTATGAAGAAGTTGTTGGAGATATCATGGTGACAGCATTAACTTCACGACAATACTGTGTTATTTTGGATCCAGTGGGTAAAAACGGAAAGCCACAATTAGGAAGAAAAGAACTTGTCAGAGTAAGTTGATTCGCTGTTTTTGTGACAATACAATTATTCTCAATTATTTGTCGCTTTTCAGGGTGAAAAAACATTTTTCTTACAACCGGGTGAGAAATTGGCAAAAGGTATCCAAGATATCTATGTATTAGAGGAAGATGAAGGACTTATTTTAAAATGTACCGAAGCGTTTAAAGAAGATGGAGTAAGTCTTCTAACACAATGATTATTAGTCTGAGTACCATTTATAATATCCATCTTCTCTCTCTTAGAAAATTATTCGATCACCCGGTGATCGATGGATGATTCGTGGTCCAAAAGATTACATACCAGCTGTTGAATCTGAAGTTGTTTTACGCCGTAAAGCCATTCCATTGGATGTTAATGAAGGCATATATGTACGTGATGTAAAAACGGGTAAAATTCGATCTGTAATTGGCAATACGTATTTACTAACGGAAAATGAAGAATTATGGGAAAAAGAATTGCCAGTACAAACGGAACAATTATTAAATTTGGATCCAAGATATTTTGAAGACACTGAAAAACAACAACAACAACAAGCTCTCATACCACCACGAGACAAATCGAAAGTAATTACTTATAGAGTACCACATAATGCTGCCGTTCAAATGTACGATTATAAAGCAAAGAAAGCACGAATTGTATTCGGACCAGAATTAGGTAAACGAAGAACGCTTTTTGTTTCGTAAAGGAAATTTCATTACTATTTCTCGTTTATATCTGTAGTTATGCTTGGTCCAGATGAACAATTTACAGTGCTTAATTTGTCTGGTGGTAAACCCAAATTTCCAAATCGCATTCGTGCGATCTGCTTACTATTGGGACCGGAATTTTCATCGGATATTGTTACTATTGAATCAGCTGATCATGCACGTTTATCATTGAAACTGTCTTATAAGTAAGGATACAGCAATTTATTCTTAGATATTTATTCTCATTCTCCACTCTTTTTGTTTCAGTTGGCATTTTGATATTAAACATGACGATAATGAAAAAGTAGTTGCAAGTATATTTTCCGTACCGGATTTTATTGGTATGTGCTAAGATCATGTCTGATATTAAGTAATTGATAATACCTTCTTTTTTTAACAGGCGATTTTTGTAAAGCAATTGCAGCTAGAATTCGAGGTGCAGTAGCTGGTGTTAATTTCGATGATTTTCATAAAGTAAGTGGTTGTTTCATGCAAGTAAACTGACAGAGAAGCGTTTTAGAAATACATTGGTGATTAGACCTCGAAAAGAGTTTTGACTAAGAGATTCACATACTGATGGTCAGTTTACATACAACTTAGATAGTTTGTCAAATTGTCATGAATTTTTGGCCAAATTTTTGCTTAATTTAAAAAAATAACATATTGAATTATTTATTTTGTGTATATTTTCCATTTAGAATTCAGCGCGAATAATTCGTGCTAGTGTATTTGGCATAGAAAAAGGCACATCAAAAGTGAATAATCGTTTTGTGTTTGCCCAAAATAATTTAGTATTAACATCCATTGACATCCAATCAGTTGAACCTGTTGATCAACGTACTCGAGAGGCTTTGCAAAAAAGTGTACAATTAGCCATTGAAGTGCGTACTTACTAAATGAAAATACTTAAAATAATTTTGATTTGTTGTTTTCGTTTTAGATTACTACAAATTCACAAGAAGCCCATGCCAAGTAAGTTAATCATTCTTCTCAAATACATTCTTTTAACGATTACAAGATTTGCATAATTCACTTTCTGTTTAGGCATGTTGCTGAAAAAACTGAACAAGAAGCTCGTGGTCATTTGGAACGACAAAAAATTCATGATGAAGCTGAAGGTAACAATGCACTCTATTAATTATTTCTCCTAAATGTTTCTTTTGTTCATATAGCTGAGAAAGAACGTCGTAATTTGTTGTTATTGAATGCATTATCTGCTGCTGTTGAAGCAACGGGACAAGCGAAAGCCGAAGCTCAAAGTCGTGCAGAATCAGCGAAAATTGAAGGTAACATCCATCTCCTGGATAATAACTAATAGCTCTAATTTTATTGTTATTTTTGTAGGTGAAGCAGCTGTTGATACCGCTCGTCTTCGTGCTGAAGCATCTAGAATTGAAGCTGAAGTTGAATTATATCGTTTAACAAAAGCACGTGAATTAGAATTAGAATATTCAAAACTAACATCTGAATTAGAAGTTGATCGAGCACAACGCATGACAAATATTGAAATAGAAGAATTTCAAAAACATGTTGCAGCTATTGGGGCAAAAACCATTCAAGGTGAACTTGTTGATCTGCACTACTATAACATCATTCTACAACTATATATTTTTTTTTTCAGCAATTGCCACATCTGGTCCAGATATGCAAGTAAAATTATTACAATCATTAGGTATCAAATCAACATTAATCACAGATGGTCGATCGCCTATAAATTTGTTTAATACAGCCATGAGTATGGTTGGTAATATCCAACAACCAACTTCCGCAACATCGTCCTTACTTTCAACAACCAATTAAATAGCATTACTGACAATTTTTTAGAATTTTGTATAACCTTTTTTCTTTTTCTTTTTAATGACACAGACTGAAGAGAAAGAGATGGAAGCAACGTCTTCCACAGCGTGAGAGTGTCAGATGTATGTTACATGTTTTGTTTTTTATCATGACAGTGATATGTATTGTTTAATGTTTTATTATTGTTGTTTTATTTCAGTACACTTATGTTGTAGTACTTTTCTTTATTTGTACGTATTTGTTTCTTTTTTTGTAGCAATTTTGTTTTATTGCTTTTTTATTCATAGAACTCATTCATATAAAAACAAAATTTGGATTCAATATCAGCATATATCGATGATTAAGCATTTGTATGTTCGCAAATGACAGAGTTGGTAATAACCATAGCTGAAGAATGAGTGAGTTCCATAGAGATCATACCGATGTGTACACAACCTCTGTAGCTGAAAAGTTGAAAACTCTGTTTAAGTGAAAGACCATACAGGATTAACAAAACTGCACATTGAAACTATTCGAAACTGTTGGCATCAAATTTGGTTCGATATTCACTTTTCAGTTCTTACGTTTGTTTAGCATGAACAACACCCAATTAATTTTCTGCAGTAGTGGTGAAAAGGGATCTTTAAAACTAAATGGAGTTTGATACAAAAGATTTACAGAAATGTTAAACTGCTTCTCGTGTTCCATTGTTTCAAAAACGATTAGATAAAGGTAATATTACTTGAGAAAAAAATGAAAAATCGAACATAATAATAATACTGCGAAATCGCCTTTGTACCCTCTAGTCGACTGCCCTAAAATCATTAGATTCATTATTAAATTGAGGTCCAAAATTTCGAATATTATTGAAATTCTTTGTTTTTACCAACTTCGGCCTCGATTTTTTTCTTAAAAAATTGAAAGTCTAAAGATTGCTCCCACATACTTCAAAAAAAAGTGTTTACTGTCTATTTGTTTTTCTTCAGTGACTAATGTGTTGTCATGGTAATGGAAAAAACATACGAATAATAAATAAATGCTACACGCGACTTCGCCGTTTTGATCACAATAATCACGTTAAAAGACAAATTCATTATATGTATTTCTGATTCGTTTCATCCGAAAAAAAGTAGAAGGAACGCGAAGTAAATCGTGAATGTTGATGCAAATACAATCACAAAACAAAAACAAAAAGTAATCGAAATTAAGGTGAAAACACAAAGACAAATGTGTTTCACTTTTCGTGAGGAGCAAAGAGATAACCCCAGATTATTTCGATCGATAAAAAAAATGACCTTGAAAGATGAATGAAACACCCACATAAGACTGTAAGGTGAACATCAGTGAAAATAAGAGATATCTAGTTGTTATATCATATCATCTTAATTTTCAAAAATTTAAATTACGCTGAAATTGTCACTGTTTTCTTTGCTAAGTTTATTGTTTCACTAGTTGTACTGTGCAGAATAATTATAGCTGCAAACACTCATATCATTCAAGAATTTTCACCTTGAAGCTGCTCTTATCAAAAAATATACTCTAGTTTTGCAAAGAAAATATTTTTTTCATCATTACAAAATTGTGCTGAGAAGAAACATCGTATTCAATTAAAACTTTTAAAGCGCACAAAAAATATATTTTTGTTTTTTCCATCAGATTGGCACAATCAGAGTCATATGCATGTTGTGTGAAGGCATGAACGGGCATATGTGAATATGTTGGAATAAGACTAATGAATAAATAAAATAGCTATAACTCAAAACAAGTTCACATGTATGTTCCATATCATCTTAATTTAGTTTTTTAAAAGGTCTGAGACGCGAGCGAAAATTTTCAAACATGAAATATCAGTCAGAAAAAAGAAACAAATTTAGATGAGATGATGTATCTATGTGAATATGGTAAAGCCATCGTCCTCTCCCTGCAGATATTTGTTCGCTCTAATTTCATTATTTTCTCTGTTTAACGTACAGTAAAAACATTTCACTTTGTTAGTTCAAAAACATATTACAAGATATGACTCTCTGATAAACTACAACTTGATCTGATCTCCGACTTTATTTGCAAGTTTGTACTACTATCCATTTCAAAATATAGTATGGGTGATTGCGACATGTGAGCGGAATGAGCTATCGAGACCGGGTTTTCGCCATCGTGTAGCCAAGGCCGGGACACATAGTAATATGTAGAAATCAAAATGTTTGCGTCTATCGCTGGAGGATTTCTAAGTGGATCTCTGGAAAATCAGCTTATCATTCCAGAGTTTTGCATAGAAATCTATCAATTTTTTTTCATATATGGATAGTCCAAGGTGTTCTCTACAAAACCAGATCCAAGTGACATCTCGAAAAGCCATGGTTCGGGAGCTATGGGCGTTTTTCTTGAAGCCTTACGACCCCTCTGTCGTTAGGCTTAATGAAAACATAGGTCACCGACTATGCTGAATTCGGTGGCAACATTTGTTTTTCAAAACACTTCCCAAAATCTAGTGGAAACGTACATTAGGTGAAATACCAATTCTGTCTAGTTTTGAGTAAATTCAAAAATTCATAACTCAGTCAAGATCAATTCAAGTTGTCATATTTAAGTTATTTATTTTCTGTTATAAACTTAAATTTGCACTAAAAACACGTTTTTTTAATAATGAAAACGAAACGAGACTAAAAACAAACAAAAAACGAGACACAAGAACAGAGATCAAAATGCACATCACATTTTTTTACGAAATAAAAATAACATACAGTATAAGAGATAGAGTACAACAATAAAAATAGCCAAACATAAATGTTTAGGAGTGTATAAGGACGGAGAAGCTGAAGCTTCTTTATCGTATATATTGGTTGTCATCGAGAATCGTGGATACTAGAATGTTTTTTTAAAGAGCACCAGCTCCACCACCTAATAAACTTTGACCAAAACCCATGAGATTTATTGGACTACGACCATCTGTAATTAATGTTGATTGTAAGCCAAGTGCTTGTAACAGTTTTACTTGTGTTTCTGGGCCCGATGTGGCAATAGCTTGGATTGTATCTGCACCAATGGCTTCTACTTGTAGTTGAAATTTCTCAATTTCTATTTTTGAGATGTTTTGTTTTTTATTTATTTCAAGCTCATTAGATTCTCGCAAAAATTTAATTTCTGCTTCACGTGCTAATTTCAAACGTTCTAATTCGGCTTCGGCTTCAATTTTCGTTGCCTCAGCTTTTAAACGTGCTTGTTCAACGGCTGCTTCGCCTTCAATACGTGTTGATTCTGCACGACTCTGAGCTTCGGCTTTGGCTTGACCAGTGCTCTCAACGGCAGCGGACAGCGCTTGTAATTCCAAAAGAGCTTTACGAACCTATATACACAAAAAGAGAAAGAAGTTAGCTTAGTTAAAGCAAATCTTTCATATGTTAATTTGCGTCTTTCAAGGAAACTATTCTACTAGCAAAATCATAACTTATAATTTTTACTTCAAATATAGTTAACCCATGCAACGTTCCACAAATCAGTGCGAAGAGCACTTATTAATCGCGATGCAGTACTTACTTCTTCGGCTCCCGCTTCATCTTTAATTCGTTGACGTTCCAATAAGCCTTTTGCTTCTTGTTCACGTCTTGAAGCTTCATGTTTAGCACTCGCTTCCTGACTCATTGTGGTTATCTACAAGAAAAACTTTAAATAAGTATTTTGTATTCGCTAAAAAAACGGATAGCATTTACTTCAATGGCTAATTGTACACTCTTCTGCAACGCATCTCGAGTGCGTTGATCGACCGGTTCAGCTGACTGGATATCGATGGATGTTATAACTAAGTTATTTTGTGGAAATACAAAACGATCACGAACACGGGTCTGAGGCACTGATTGTTTATCAGTGGATGCTGTTGTTTCCGGTATAACTTCTAAACCAAATACACTAGCACGAATGATATTGGCTGAGTTTTTATGAAAATCGTCAAACTGAACACCAGCAACTGCACCACGAATTCGGCTAGCAATAGCTTTAGCGGCATCACCTAAACAAAGGCATCTAAAGGTAACAACTGATCAACATGAGAAAAGAAGATAAACTAACCAACAAAATCAGGTACACTAAATAATTTTGCCCCTTCTTTCTCATCGGTACGATCATTGATATCGAAGAACCAACTGAAATTAAGGAAACTCGCATGAATGTTGAGAGATGATGTTTTCATCTGACTTACTTGTAAGATAACTGAAGTGATAGTCTAGCATGATCAGCTGTTTCAATAACGATGACATCGGTAAAAAAATCTGGGCCCAATAGTAATGCCAATGATTTGATTTGATTTGGTTTTTTTGGAGTAGATCCAGAGAGATTGATTAATGTGAAATGTTCATCAGGTCCCAACATGACTAATTCAGGTCCAAAAACAATTCTCGAATGTTTTGCTTTGTAATCGTAGACTTGTACGGCTGCATTATGTGGAACACGATATGTAACTACTTTGGATTTATCACGTTTTGATGATTGTGATGCTGACGAAGTTGTTTTGCTATCTGAATCTTTTACTTTAACATTTCTGTCGGCTAATGGATCTCTTAATAGTAACTGTTCAACTTGTGGTGGTAATTCTTTATCCCACAGTTCTTCATCTTGCGTTAACATGTACGTTTGACCAACGACCGCTCGAACACGACCGCTTTTAATATCACGAACATAGATACCTTCATTTTCATCTGAATAAAATACACAATAGGTCAGAAATAGCCTATAATAACAGAAGAATAACAGTCAACTTACCTAAAGGTATTGCTTTTCTTCTCAGTAGTACTTCGACTTGTGTTGGTGGTATATATTCTCTTGGTCCTCTTATCATCCATCTGTCACCTGAAAAAATTCAAATATTTTTTAGAAATAATCAATAATCAGTCAAGTCATAGACTTGATTTTTTATAAGAAAGCATCGATAGTTCATCTACATTAAAATCGATATTTTACTACCCTGTGCAAACCACTGACAATAAGCCAAATCTCTTCGTCCTACCTGGCATACGTGGCCCTTGATCTTTTTCGTCGTCATCGAATGATTCAATACATTTCAATATAACACCTTCGTCTTCGCCCAATATGTATACATCTTGAATTCCTTTTTCTAATCGTTCACCAGGTTGTAGAAAAAATGATTTTTCGCCAACAACTAATTTCTTTTTACCCAACTGATTTTTACCATCAGCTAAAAAAGAAGTCATGAACAATTATAATCTCTCACTCACCGTTATACATTTAACGATCTTACCTGAAACTGGATTTAAAATGACACAATATTGTCGTGAATTGAGCGTTGTTACATCAACATTGGCTACAAGTTCTTCATAAACATTTAGAATATGTGTTTCAGTTTGTTCTGTTGTCAATAACCATTCGTCACCATTTTTTCGTTGTTGACCGAAATCATCTGTGAATGTTTTTAGTGCACGTAGATGCAAAGCTCTTTTATCTGTTAGAACGTAAGCATTTTCAACGTTGACCACTGTTTCATAAGCCAATGGTAAATAGGCACCCGATTTTTTAACTAACCAGTTTTCACCGGTTACACGACGTTGACCCATTCGATCAATTATTTCTTTTTTAGCACTTAAACGTATTGCTTGATTTGTACCAATCACAGTAGCACGAATTTGTTCTTCAACAGATACTTCTTTGCGTGGTGTGTAAGTTCCTAATAAACAAAGTTAGACGATCAATGGTACTGAATGAATGTTTGATAAATATAAAGTTATTTACCTGGTCCTTCAAATAGCCATTCATCTCCTGCTTTTCGTTGCTCTCCATTATCATCAAAATCCAAAACAGCTTTTAATCTTAATGCGGAATTAGCCACAACATGTTTCAACGGTGTAACAGGCTAGAATTATGGAAACAGTTACTACCCAAAAACACCTTTAATAGTATAGACATTCAATGTACCTGTCTTAAAATTTCACCAGGATACAAGGGAAATGGTTCTTTATAATCTTTTTCAAGTCTTATATCTAAATCGGCATGTGATAATCTTGCTTGGCCATTTTGGTCAAACTGTACTACTCCAGCTTCATTTTTCACCACAGGATTTTCAACAACACAGTAGTGTCTTGGTGGTACAGTGATCATTTTCTCCGGTCCAATGGTAACTGTTTCATTATCTTGTTTAATAAATGTTTTTGGTCCCAATTCCAATCGTGATACATTGGTATTTTGATCCAACACATGAATATAATAATATGGTGGAATACGATAAACGGGACCCGTCTGAGGTGCTGAACTTTTGGAAGACGACATCGTCTAATTTATGTTACTGAAATGAAAAAACAAAAGAAAAAGTATTTTTTACCGTTGAGCGCTACAAATTAAATTTCAGCAAAATCTATACTTGAAAAAGTTTTAAATTTCGTTTTCGTTCAACCAAAATGGATTTGGGGCAATTTTTGCCATTAAGTGGAAATTTTGAAGAATATCATTTTTACCTATCACTTTGGTATCCGTATAAACATCTAACGCAGTTTAATCTGGTTTCGTAATATTCACAATGACAACTATAAACATTGTTCAGTTATGCTCAGTTCAGTCTATAACTTACTATCCGAACTGCAGTGAGTAATTCACCTGAGCAGTTACGAGAAGATGATATAAGTTTTTTAGCTCTAGCTAAAAGTGCTTACTATTCAGCATTATAAAGTCTCTTAAGCCTTAAGTGATATTCTATAAATGTGTAGCAGATATTACTCTCTCAAAGATTTCGGTAAGGTAGAAAAGGTTCCACATTATCATACTAACCTAAATGAATACAAAAAACTTGTCGTTGCACTGGTCTTATAAATCAAACTCACACCAAATGAAAGCTCAATGAATAAAAACGACGTGTTTTTTTTCGGGGTAAGAGAGAGAAAAAAAATACTTCGCTTTCAACTGGTTGTGAAATTTGTTTTCACCACTAGACAAAAACATGAGAAATATAGAGAAAGAAAAATGATAGAATCATTTTTTTTCTATGTTTACTATATTAATCATATTCTTTTCTCCTACATAGAAAAATAGATTTTTTACTTACTAGGTAAAAAAGCTGAATACGGTCAGAGTGACAATATGTACGATATATATTAACGGTATATAGACAGACAATATCTCGCTTTTTCTCACTCGTTTTCTATCCAAAAAGGGACCGAAAAAAAATAGTGGATATAGAGGAAACCAAAAGGGGTATTCTTTCAATACTTTTACTCTCGTGTTGAAATTCTTACAAAATCATATGAAATTCTTACTGTTATAGATAAAGGAACCTTATGAGATCTCTTTTTCTCTAGTTACGGACAACTACAACACTTAACGTATTACAATTTATTGTGAAATAAGCGTAATTTGTTTCGTTCTGCTGTTTATGATTTCAACAACGGAATGAAATCCTATGGACTTTATGAAATTCGAGTTTGAAGCAGCGCTACATCTAAGAGGAAAACTTGCTTTTAATCCAAAACAGTTAAAGACTTGCAGCTAAAAGAACACTTAAACAAATCAATTTAAAAGTCACTTGCCAATGCAGATCTGAGCGTGTAAAAAGCACAATAAGAAGAAATATGTTACATTTTAACAACCAGTGAATGATTTTGGTCAAATATAAAAAAGAATTCTAACAATCGTTCGCATTCATTTCGGAAAAATTGGATATGTCTCTAAATCAAAACACTTCTGGGTCAACTATCACGCGCTGGAAAAACTAACGAGTGTTCGGCTTGTCCAAACGTAACGCTGTTACGTTTTTGACACACTTTTTCTCAATTATGTCGGAAAGTTTGAGAGCTAGAAAGTTCGTTCAAACGCCATTCGACGCAGCTCATCATACTCTATGTATGCTGAGACGAACGAAACGAAGTTTTTTGGTTGAAGTCTGGAGCTTCGAAAAAGGCTTTTTCATCGCGTAAGGCTGTTACATAAAACGACCCTAAATTCGGAGTGCTCTTGCTAAAGTTCTAATTTCCTCCGACAGTTGTTTTCCAAATGAAATGCTCCTAGAGCAAATTTTGTAGAGCATCAAACGAGCTTTTCAGCAGTAAAAAAATTTTTCTTCTAACTATTTTTACTCGCGTAAAAAAAGCAAAAAACAAACGTAACAGCGTTACGTTTTCCGCAACGCTGTTACACATCTTTTTGTCACACCATTTTAGGGTACTCAACGTTCTTCAAACAACTTCATACTTATGGCTTGAGTACTTCTAGCCTTCCTGAAGATACTCCACTTGCAAACAAAGTTCCAAAAGGTGCTGCGGGCTTTTAAATCGAGTCGGGAGTTCAAACTTGTTGGCAGCCCTTGTACCTCGACTGAGAAATATTTCTCAAAACAAAATGAGCTATTTTCTAGAGAATTGAATTCTCTATTCGACAGTATATTTTTAAAATTATTTTATGAAAATCTCCAGGTCAGAAAATTAAAATTAAAGATTTCAAAAATTTTAAATTGAAATTTTTTAATTGAAAAGTCAGTTCTTTTTCAAAATAAAGGCCGAATTCGTGATCAGCATGAAAAACTACGTCTGGTGATGGGCTCCTATCGATTTCCCGATGAAAAAGAAAAAAACTTGATCAGCGAAGTATCGCTTTACGTGGATAAGCCGTGTTACAGAAAGAATGGCGTAGTTTTTATTTTCAGTTTTTCTCCTCTTCCTTTGAACTCACAGAGCTCATTTTATTACCAAAAGATTCTCCATTCATTTCTCTACCAAATGGTGTATAGAAGACGATCCTAAGGTTTGAGACACTGTCTTAATTGAACAAACATCGAAATGTCTGTAAAACTTAAAAATTTTTTCCGATGATAGTTTTGAAGTTTGAACTTCATTTTGAAAGTGATTGGAAGAAGATAGCACATCATTTCTTAGGACGTTTAGATGTCCTCTTTCAGATGGCGCAAGACTCATTTTCTTCTCATCAGTATAATGTGGTAAAAATGACTAGTTAATAACTGGAAGCCATTACTAAACAAAATGCGCTAGTTTCAACATCGCCATTATTCAGAAAAGTTACATCAAAGGTTTCGCACATGAGTCGAGTAGACCAAACATTTGTCTTCAAATGACGCAAGAATGTGCTTGATTGGTTCAGTTTTGTCTGAGCAATATTCATTTTACAAATAGCCCTAAAATGCAGGTTGAAAAAGCTGAAAAAACGGTCATAGGGCTTTTACAAAAATCATTACTGAAAACAGAGAAATAACTGTTGAATATCCGCAATCGGTAGAGAATTTTAAGAGCTACATTTTGTCCTACTTGCTCCAGACACAACGCATACGTTCAACTTTATACTGATAAAATACACTTTTTTATGTTTTAAGTTTTTCGGACATTTCGATGTTTGTTCAGTTAAGACAGCGTCTCAAACCTTAGGATCATCTTCTATACAGCATTTTGTAGAGAAATGAATGGGGAATCTTTTGGTAATAAGATGAACTCTCTGAATTCAAAGGAAGAAGAGAAAAACTGAAAATAAAAATCACGTCATTCTTTCTGTAACGCCCGTTAGTTCGGTTTTTTGCAACAGCCATCACTGTGTTCTGTGCATCATTCAATAATTTAGGCTGAAATTTTCATCATGATCTATTCAATATACAGCATGCAACTTTTAAACATTCCATTCAAATCGGATGCACCGTGCAGGAAATATAACTTTTGTATGGAGGTGTGTACCCATCCATAGTGTGCATTTTTCAACAGTTGGTAAATGGAACATCAGAATTTTTTGCTCGTAAACTATTTTTTCATGGCTAATTATAAAAAAAAAAATCACGTTTTCAAAAAATCGACTTTCTTTACAAGTTCATGAGAAAAAATTTTGATGAATATTTTCTCTATCCAAAACTTATTGTGTTATATACAGCTCGATGCAATTCGAAGCGCCATTTCCGAATATGTCATTGTTATCGAGAACAAACGCTATATTCTGGAGGTTTCCACGGAAGCTTCAGCAGTCCCAGAGCTCCCTGTAAAATTCGACCCTCTGGCCTAACCAGAACGCACGAAGATCTTTTTCTTTCGTGGGTTTGTTGCTATCATTTGTGTTGTTGCTATCACTGTTTTAGACATAGGGATCGTCGAAAACACACTAGTGGAATTAGCAGATTTTATTTATTTTCGTTCAATAGTTATTCACAAAATAGCCAAGAGAATTGTTCTTTTAATTCGATACTAGATGAAAGAAATATTTTATGCCATTCGACAGCGAATGTCTTGAAGTCTATTTTTCTTTATCTGAATCTACATCAAGTTCACTTTTGATTTTTTGTCAAATGTCCCCATGAATGCATGTTGTGTCGCCAGGTGAGACCATCTGCACTTCTTAACCCGGTGGTTATTGAGCGTCGAGACGGCTAGTGTGTCCCATTCTTGAAGATCCTATCATCATTCTTTCGCTACTTTATTTCATTTCATTCATTTACTCTTTCTTCCATTTTCTTCGGAAGGGAAATAGAAACCATTATCACAAAAAAAGAATACAAAACCGACAAAAAACCTAGTTTTTTACAACCGAGTTGGTTACATTGTAAGGGTATATCCTCTTTTGAGAAAAGATTCTCATTTTTAGTTAAACATGGTGCATGTATGATGGAGTGAAGTGACTTCTACAATGTAAACTCCCAGCTTCCGACGACTTTTCGCTGAGATGATATGAAATTTTTATGATTTTTCACTTTACATTGAAAAAACTTTTTTGATTTTTTACATTCTGAGATATCTTCCCAGGTATGTGCGTTGAAATTTTAAAACCATGGCGCTAGTTTAATAAGCAATCAAATATTATGACGGCGATGAATTTGCCATGCACAGTATTGTAACCGTTACTTTTTAACGATGTAAAAATATCAGACTATATGTCGGTTAAAATAGTTTTTTAAAACCATTAACTGAAAAAAATCACAAATTTTAATACTCTCACTGGGCTAAGCGCTACTGGCTTTTTCTATTAGCAGCATTATTGCTCAAAAGAACAATCGTCATATTTTTTCGGTATCGTGTCACTAGCTGACAGTCAATTGCAATAGATTCACTTCAGTAATCAATAACAATAACTCTAAATTGAATCATTTAAAAAAATCTACAACATTCGTCTTCTGAATAAGTATTGCTGGAAAACACTTTTTATTTTACCAAGAGGTGAGAAGATTAGAAGAAATATTTGAAATGTGTTAATGCTATCTATCCGCACGTACCAATCGCTATGGCATAGCTACCATTACACATCTAACGTAATGCGTGACGTTTTTTCTTTTTGTTGACATTCTGTCTCTACCTATG